TTAACAATGTTATTTTTAAAATGATACAGTTTAATATGAGCTTATTTTTCTTTAAAAACTAATAATAAATTAACGCTATAATTTTGTTTTTGGTTACATAATATTATTTTGAAATAGTTATTTCAACTAAAAAAAAGCGGGAAATTGGGTATCGCTCTGCTGTACATTAGGTGGTGGGGTAGACCTCTGTCTAGGGTAAGTTAGATTTTAATGCAATGATATGTATCATTGTATACGAAAAACGATTCTGAACGGAGATGATTTGTCAGTCTAGGATATATTATATTTAAATATTGTCATATATTTTATTTTGAAACAAATATATTATTTTTCGATTAAGACGCATTTTGAATAAGGTTAGGTTAATCAATTTTTCCAAAAACATTGCATGTAGTTATCATAACTCATAATACCTTATATTATCATAGATATACATATACCTSGTTTGAGAATAAATCGTTATCGTTACACTATTTCGTAAAAATTTAAAATTCAAACGCACTTAAAATTTTTCCTATAATGATGTTTCAAGTTTTCTCTATAGCTACTTGAAGGAAAACTAATGGAAAACTTAGTGTTGTATTTTTAATCCTTAGTTATAAACACAAAAATTTTTATGATTTTTCAACTTCAAAATTACTTGCAAATTTTTGCGTTTTCGACAGAGTTCGTAAAAATTTGAACTATAGACGCTTATAAAAAAAAAATTGTGATTTACGATTTTTAATTTTTTTTAGCTACAATAAGAAAAACTCATAAGGAACCTTGTATTAAATTTTCAAGTTTTTTTGGTCGTTCAACATTTTTTTACCGGCACTTCAAAAAAAATTTCTCAAAAAAATTGAAAATGTCAGTGGTCTATAAATAACTCAAAAAATTCAACAAATTTTGAAAATTAAACTGTATATAGATAACACTAATATAAACATTTGGTGAAAATTTCAAGTATTTACAGTCATTAGTTTTTGAATTACAACCATATAAAAAAATCGATTTGGTAGAAAACTGATTTCGCGTAAAAATTCCCGTTTTTTATTCACTTTTTTTTTTTTGTTTTTTTCGATTTTTTTGAAAACTGTTTACTTTTGACCTCTATAATGCACCAAGGAACTTCACTTTTACATCAGAAACCACCCCCAAGTTTGAAGCATTGTTTCGACTAGTTATGCTGTACAGACACACACAAAAAAAACAACACACATCATTGTAAAATCAATACATTCATCACTTCGTTCAGAACCTAAAACTTTGAGATGTAACAAATTACAATCCATTTTGTTTAGGCATTTACTGAATACACCTCATACTACCTAAATGAAACATACAAAATTATATCAATATATCACTAATCAATATGGAAAATTGAAAAATAAATCTATTATTAAATAACTAGGAACAGATTTTGCATTTTAAGTATTTACTTATGACGTAATCTGTTTACTAAAATATATTTTTGGAAAACACTTTTCGGAAAAATAAGTTTCGTCCAACTCCTAAATTGATTATAAAATATACACAGATCTTTAAAAGATTTTCCACTTAAATTTCTACAGCATATAATCACAATTAAATTTATTAATCAAAAGTATAGCTGTAATAATAATAAATCCAAGTAATAGTTTATAAGAAAAATAGATGAGAACTTAAGCAGGTAAGCTATATATCATAGGTACTCTTTATGWCTATAATAAAGTGCGGCAAGCATTCTGAAGAATAAAAGTTTTAAAACGGAAGAAAAAAATATTTTGTTGTAAATTATATTCTGTTATTGTTATATTTATAGTTATCAGCTTTCAATTATAAATTACAGCTGAACATTAAAGTGTGGACTGTGGATTCCATTTTTCTATTTTCAAATAATAAATTATTCTACTCAATTCAATGTAATAMAATTTAAATCGTTTAATGACAATTAATTGCTTTCAAATATAAAGATAATATATCATCCGTTGAACATCGAACGTAGTTTAATGAAATGCCTTTTCAACGTCTATATCAATTAATAATAAACTAACTGAAAATATTTTATCTTGAATATTTTTTTTATCATTATTATGATTATTATTAAATGAAAAGGCTTCAATAATAACACAGGTTTTTAACCTATATTTAATAAACATCTAGACAAAAATTATTTGCATTTTACATTACATTTTAATACAAATATTTATGCAATATTTACAGTGAATTGCTTAATGGCAGCTTATATAAGAGAAAAATATACAGATTGCATTTTTGTTCTCTTAATATTCTGTACAATATTATTGGTGTACCTAACTATGTAAAATTAAACTTATCCAACCCTTATAATTATTAACTTCTCGACAGATTTAAAATTATATACAACAGTTATTTTATTATTTGTTCATARTTGTTATAAATAAAAACCATTAATTTATATAGTATTGGCCGCAATAACGCTACAGATCTAGTACTTACGTGAATTATATATTATAGAATTATAATATGGCTATATAGTATAATATAACATATACATACATATTACATATATACAGGGTGATTCTTTTAAATAGGTACACTAATTATCTCGAAAAGTATTTACTTTTTCAAAATATTTTTTTACATGGTTTCAAGTTGTTAAAAAACCAAYGTTTTTATTTAAAAAAATTATTTTTAAATATTTTTTTAAGTTTTTTACTTTTTTGAATGACAGCATAGAGTTTTAATTTCATATTCCAGAGCAGAATATTTTTCTAAGTATTTTGATTCATAAAAATCGAATTTAGGGCTAGTAGTTTTTGAGTTATAACTTTATAAGTATTTAAAGTTTAGATTGACAGAGTGGAGTGGTACGAGGTTACTTCGCAAAATGTTTGTCCACTACTCC